CCAAGATGGCTGGGCCAGAGGACGACAGGCTCAAAGTCACCCACTCAGCTACCCCTGCTCTCCTTCGTGCCCTCTTTGCCTTGTTCCCACTGACAGCCCCCCCACCCTACACCCGCCCCCATAAGCCACGGTACCTTCTCAGTCACGTACTGGCACCGCTTGAGGTCGTGCTCCCCGTCTGGCAGGATCTCCGGTTCCACGATGGGCACAATGCCGTTCTGCGGGGAGAGCCAAGCCCAGCACTGAGGCCCCCGCAGAGGCCAAGGGCCCGCCCCAAAGCCAGAGCGGAGGGGCAGACGGGCGGCTGGCTCACCTGCTGGCAGATGCTGGCATAGCGGGCGAGCACGTTGGCGTTCTCCAGGATGGCCAGGCTGGAGGGGGTGTTCTCGCTGATCTTCAGCACACAGCGCCACTTGGCAAAGTCCGCGCCATCTTTCTTGTACTGGGCACAGCGCTCTGCCAGCCCATCCAGCCCTGGGGGAGGGAGGGAGGGAGGGAGGGAGGAAGGAAGAAAGGAAGAAAAAAGGGAGAGAGGGAGGGAGGAAGGAAGGAAAAAAGGAGAGAGGAAGGAAGGAAGGAAGGAAGGAAGGAAGGAAGGAAGAAAAAAGGGAGAGAGGGAGGGAGAGAGGGAGGAAGGAAAAATGGAGGGAGGGAGGAAGGAAGGAAGGAAGGAAGGAAGGAAGGAAAAAAGGAAGGAAAAAGGGAGGGAGGGAGGGAGGGAGGAAGGTGGCGAAGAGGGAGGCAGGAAGGAAGGAAGGAAAAAGGGAGAGAGGGAGGAAGGAAGGAAGGAAGGAAGGAAAAAGAGGGAGGGAGGAAGGAAGGGAGGTAGTGAAGGGGAAGGCAGGCAGGAAGAAAAAAGGAAGGAGGAAGGAAGCAAGGTGGTGAAGAGGGAGGGAGGGAGGAAAAAGGGAGGAGGGAAGGTGATGAAGAGGGAGGAAGGAAAGAAAGAAAAAGGGAGGAAGGAAGGAAGGAAGGAAAGAAGGAAAGGGAGGGAGGGAGGAAACAGAATGCATGGCAACACTGCAGCACACCACATACACCTTACGCCCCGCCAAGGCCTGACCACCCACAGAATCCAAGTGAGGGGCTCACACACCCCCCCCACCTGCCCAGTCAGCCCCCTGCCTCTGCCCCTACCTTGGGTGGTGGTTTCTCCATCCGTGCCGGCCAGGGGCACCACCCCTTTGTCCACCTGGGAAGGAAGCAGAGGCTGGTTAGGGCGGCAGTCTCCCCAGGACCCCCACGGGGAGGATTACAGGCTGATGCTGGGGGGGGACAGGCGGGCTCCTCCTGCGGGGGTGTGGGGGGGGGGTGGCAGAGCCCTGACTCCACTCTGAAGGGAAGGGGTCTCAGCCTGCAGCACCCAAAGAGCAATTTTGAAAGATCGCTCAGGAAGGCGAGCGGGGGGGGGGGGTTCTTCCCTGATAAAGGAGA